TCATTTCCTTTTATGTTTTTTGTTTTTTTTATTCTTTTATTTGTGCCTGATGCGTTTCGCTGCTGTGGATCGGGGCGCATCACCTGTTTTATCCTCTGTGACTCACCTAACTGATGTGGCCGGCAAGCAGCGAGCACTCCGCTGTTGCTGCGGTCGGTAGATCTTTTAGAACTGCAGTTCAAAGGTAACTCATAAGGTGAATATATATGAAACCAGGTAGCAGTTTTTCTTTAGGATTGAGAGGAGATGCAGGAAGATAATAAACAGACAGGACAGAAAAATAGTCAAATAAAAAACAAGTTAGTTTTTGTACCTGCTGGTTGCAACAAACAGACACCATTGAAGGTCATCAGAAGTGAGGAACAGAAAATGAAATAATTATTTTAATTTTTAGAGCAGCAGGAACTCCGAGAGGCTGCAGGCGCATCAGTGAGTTTGCGGCCGCTGCGCAGGGGGAGGGGAGGGAGGGCTGAAGCAGAAACAATCGTTGTTAAAAGAGATGTGTTTAACTTTGAAAATGTGGGCACAATTTTAATTGTCAAAAACTCCAGCGAACCATTAGTTCATTTTGCTCAAAGAGAAATTGAGGCCTGCCTCTAATTCTGGTCCTCCTTCCAATAAAGGCCTGGAGCTTGATGAGCTTGAGTCAAATACAGGCCCGGGCCTGTATTAGAGGATTTACGGTATGTGCCTCCCACTTGTTAAGGGACCAAAAGTAATGGGACAATTGGCTTCTCAGCGGTTCCATGGCCAGGTGTGTGTTATTCCCTCATTATCCCAATTACAATGAGCAGATAAAAGGTCCAAAGTTCATTTCAAGTGTGTTATTTGCATTAGGAATCTGTTGCTGTCAACTGTCAACATGAGATCCAAAGAGCTTTCACTATCAGTGAAGCAAGCCATCATTAGGCTGAAAAAACAAAAGAGACCTATCAGAGAGATAGCAAAAACATTAGGCGTGGCCAAAACAACAGTTTGGAACATTCTCAAAAAGAAGGAACGCTCCGGTGAGCTCAGCAACACCAAAAGACCTGGAAGACCACGGAAAACATCTGTGGTGGATGACCGAAGAATCCTTTCCCTGGTGAAGAAAATACCCTTCACAGCAGTTGGCCAGATCAAGAACACTCTCCAGTAGGTAGGTGTATCTGTGTCAAAGTCAACAATCAAGAGAAGACTCCACCAGTGTGAATAAAGAGGGTTCACCACAAGATGTAAACCATTGGTGAGCCCCAAAAACAGGAAGGCCAGGTTAGAGTTTGCCAGACATCTAAAAAAGCCTTCACAGTTCTGGAACAACATCCTATGGACAGTTGAGACCAAGATCAACTTGTCCCAGAGTGATGGGAAGAGAAGAGTATGGAGACGGAAAGGAACTGCTCATGATCCTAAGCATACCACCTCATCAGTGAAGCATGGTGCTGGAAGTGTCATGGCGTGGGCATGTATGGCTGCCAGTGGAACTGGTTCTCTTGTATTTATTGATGATGTGACTGCTGACAAAAGCAGCTCGATGAATTCTGAAGTGTTTCGGGCAACATCATCTGCTCATATTCAGCCAAATGTCTCAGAACTCATTGGACGGTGCTTCACAGTGCAGATGGACAATGACCCAAAGCATACTGCAAAAGCAACCAGAGAGTTTTTGAAGGGAAAGAAGTGGACTGTTTTGCAATGGCCAAGTCAGTCACCTGACCCATTTCTGATTAAGCATGCATTTCACTTGCTGAAGACAAAACTGAAGGGAAAATGCCCCAGGAACAAGCAGGAACTGAAGACTGTTGCAGTAGAAGCCTGGCAGAGCATCACCAGGGATGAAACCCAACGTCTGGAGATGTCTATGTGTTCCAGACTTCAGGCTGTAATTGACTGCAAAGGATTTGCAACCAAGTATTGAAATGTATGAGTTTGATTTATGGTTCTTATTCTGTCCCATTACTTTTGGTCCCTTAACAAGTGGGAGGCACATATGCAAACTGTTGTAATTCCTACACCGTTCACCTGATTTGGATGTAAATACCCTCAAATAAAGGCCGACAGTCTGCAGCTAAAGCACACCTTGTTTGTTTCATTTGATATACATTGTGGTGGTGTATAGAGCCAAAAATGTTAGCATTGTGTGGATGTCCCAATATTTATGGACCTGACTGTATTTAAGAATGGGTGTAATGTGCTGTCTTCGTTCCGCTCCAGTCAGGAACCCTGCTGCTGAAGTCTGGACAGAGCAGCTTTACTAATGCAGTACAAGCAGGAGTTGGAGGTATCTAGCCAGGCTGGCATGAAGGTGTGAATCATCGACTCTAGAAGGTGGACATTCAGGATAGGCTTTATTTTAGAAATTGGCCTAACGTGTTAGAAGCAGGACTTGAATGTGCTATTGGCCTGAGCATCCATCTTCAGGACTGTCCATTTTTACTTCAAGGTTGGAAACAGTAGAACTTGCATGAGGAGAGAGTGGCTGGGTCGCTTTAACATTGTTGGGATTAAAAACACATGCATGTGTTTTAGAGCCATTCGGATGGAGCACACTTTCGGCCAGCCGTTCCTTGACATTATGAAGACAATTAAAGGTTTAGTGGAGTCAGTAGCCATTTTTACTAAACAATGCCATCAATTTGCCACAACGCCGTGGTGGCATCAGGTTGCCTTAGGGCATTTATAAGTGATCAGACCATGGTGGTAATGCGGCGGAATCTTGTCCTTTTTACAAAATATGACGGGATGGCAGCATCAAGGGGGTATGGGCGGTACCTGCACTGCTGCGGACTTCCATTTATTTTGCACATAACTTGCTTTTTATTGCAAATGAGGCTGTGCTCATTAAGACTTTTTAACAAGCCGCTCCTTAAGGTGTCTTTCCTTCTCAATCCCCATGCAATCTCTTGTGATCTGACCTCCAGCTCTAACGGAGAGAAGCTCCTGGAGTGCTGCAGCAGCATGAACACATTGTGTTGCCACCATGCAATTGGCTGATTAGTAATTTGCGTTTATGAGCAGTTGGACACTTGTACCCAATAAAGAGGCCAGTGAGTGTCATCAGCATAACAACGAAAGCTGATGTTAAATTTTCTGAAGACAGACCCTAGATGGAGAAGTAGATTATGAAAGTAGGGGGGCAAGGACAGAACTGTAAGAAGTTCCAGGAGTTACATCAGTAGGTGTGGAAGTAAATGTTTTCATCTGAATTAATTGAGTCATATCTGTCTGTGAGATATGATTTAAATCAATCAAACTGAGTGCATGAAATAACTATTGAGGATTTTCTTGTCAATAGAGTTAGAATGGCAGATGGTGTCAAATGCAGCACTGAGATCGAGGAAGAGGATGGTAATAAGGCCAGAATCTGCTGCAGTTAGGAGATCGTTTGTTATTTTAGACAGAGCCATTTTAGTGCTGTGGTGGGGTTGAACATCTGATTGAAATTGTTCATATAAGTTATTGTTGGAAAAATGCTGACGGAGCTGTATCATCATCGTCGCAGCTTCTGCAAGGGGTTGGGTGTTGTCCCGCTCTGGTGTGTTGAGCCTACCAGGTGAACCAGTTGCTTCCATTGCTGGCGGTCTTGTGCCAGTTCTGCATTCGCCACAGCAACTCAGAATTGTTGAATGGTGGCTGCTACGTCGAACCATCGAGCGCGAGGTTTACCTCGTGGTCGTCTACAGTCGGCAGACCTCGGGTCAAACTGCAAAATGGCTCTGGTCAGATGGTCAAAGGGAAGGTGGAGAACATGGCCGAGCCAGCGGGTGCGGCGTTGAGCTGCCATGCACGATGCTTTTGGCTGGCGTGTGCGTTCTCTTTGCACACAGTTGGAGATCCGCTGTGTCCACCCGATGTTTTCTGACCCCCATCAGAATGCAAGGTGGGTTAAATGTCTTGCCCAAGGACACAGCAACAGACTGAGCGGGGCTCGAACCTGAAACCTTCCGTCTACGAGGCGAGCACTTAACTCCTGTGCCACTGTCACCCTCTCTACTGTTTAGGTCACAAGGGTCAGCAAGAGAGAAAATAAAAGGAAATATAACAAGACAAAAATAAATATTAACATTATTTGAGCTCAGAAAAAATATTCTCAGTTTGCTATAATAAGGCAACGATTCTGGAGAAAGCTGACTATGGTGTGTGTGTGTGTGTGTGTGTGTGTGTGTGTGTGTGTGTGTGTGTGTGTGTGTGTGTGTGTGTGTGTGTGTGTGTGTGTGTGTTTTAGCATCCAGCTGTAAATTAATATTTAGAAAATAGCAAAAGAGTGTTCATTCTCCGCTCTCTTCTCTAGTCCCAAAATCCCTTCTGTTTGTCAGGCAAATCGGACTTCTTCTTCCTCTCCTTTTTTTACTCTATGCTCAGGTTTTTCCCTGTTTGTCCACCTATCTTTAGCACTTTTTGACCTATTCAAATGCAACTAAATGTCACAGGAAAGGGAAAGGTCAGGTAAAGGTTTAGCGCTGAGCCATTTCTGAATGTCTAACATAGTGCTGGATGCTTAAGGATGTGGGGGAGGGGGAACGTAGTGGCATTGGTAAGGGGAGTGGGGGTCATGTTGACATTTCATCCCTTGAACCCACACCTCTTCATGCTTGCACATATTTGAACACACTGGTGTCAGCTCCTCTGTTCCAGCACCACTTGGCTCTGAACCAGCAGACGTCTGAGTGCACCAGTGTCCCCGTAGGGTGGCTCATCATCGAGCTCAGATGATTGAGGAGGTTACAGCTTCCTGGGCCCTAGTGGACACCAGGACAGCATTTGTCATGGGTATACAGCAAGTTGTCTGTACAGCTTTTATGCTCCAGTTTCTTTGTTGGGACAGTTTTGAAATCCTCAGTCCCGCCTAGAAATATTAATCTCCAGAAAAGGTATTAGTTAGACCTAAAGGTGTTTCTTACTCTTAGTTCCTTACTTCAAAAAGGTAACGCAGTGACTCTTTAATTTTAGCTTGTCCATGTATGAAGAATACCGAGTTAGAAATGGGATTTCTGTATTGATTATTTTCATTTCACGTGCAGGCAAGCACAGCCGAATCCTAATTGGAATGGATTTCTCTCTTGCATTGATTTCCTCAGGTGAGTAAAAATGACATACTGTGAGTGTGTGTGTGTGTGTGCGTGCGTGCGTGTGCGCTAACTCGATAGGTTTCTCATACAGCAGGAGCCTTGGGAAACAAGGACCTCTGCTAACACTGATTTCATTTTCCTCATGACCGCTTAAGTTCCACAGCCTAGTTCCCTGCATGAACACACATGCTCAAACACACATGCTCTCACAAACACACGCTGAGACACGCATACTCTCACACAGACACACACACACCCTCACTAACACACACATCCACACTCACACATACACCACACATTCTGTCACATACACGCTCGCTAATGCCCACTAACACACACTTACTCACACACACTAACACACACAGTGACATTTCATACCATTTCCAGAATAATGCACATACTAGTATGGCCATAAGTTTTCTTCATGGTGACGTTTTCAGAATATTCCCCTCATTATTTATGGCCATTTTTATAATAATAACTTAATAGTTAATAATGAAAAATACACAATAAAGTCATAATAGATATTTATTTACACGACCGGTCAAAAGTTTTAGAACGCCTCAATCTTTCCAATTATTTCTTGCAGTTTAGGTCATTCAAGTCCAATGAATAGCTTGAACTGGTACAAAGGTCAGTGGTAAACTGCCAGAGGTGAAAAAATGGTAAAGTTGCTCAAAACTGAAAAATATTGTACATTTCAGAATTATACAAAAAAGCCTTTTTCAGGAAACACAGCTGTTCTACAGCAATGGAGGTTGATCAAGCCATGAAAGCTGGTGCTACTAATTCCTGCAGATGTTTCAACTTTTCTGGATTACTTACAACCTCCTCTGTCTGCATAAAAGCAGTGTTGGAACATACTGTGGTACCATACCCTGATGAGCATCAGTTGAACAGTATTGTACTGCAGATAATAGTGTGTTGCTACAAAAATGGTGAGAAAAAGGCAATTAACAATGGAAGAGAGACAGACCATCATAACACTAAAAATGTAGGTCTTTCCTACAGAGAAATTGTAAAGGTGTCAGTGAGTAGTTTCCTTCACCATCAAAAGGCACTCAGAAACTGGGGCAAACTCTGACAGGAAGAGGTCTGGCAGACCCAAAGCCACAACTGCATCAGAAGACAAGTTTCTGAGAGTTAACAGCTTGTGTGATAGGCAGATGGATCCAGTTTTGAGATCCCTTCCCAGATGCCTCAACGCCCACCCATATCCTGGGCCATCTGATCTCAGGAATTCACATGATAGGGTGGGGCCAGGTTTCACAATGATCTCACCCGAAACTCTGGCTGAATAGGACCCACACCCACCCTCACACCTTGGCTCATAGAAGATCATCAGGGAGTCTTTTGTTCCCTCTTCGGGGGGAAACTCCCACGGGGTTTAAATCTGGGACTCTCCACCATTTGACCTCAGAACTGAAGAAGCCTCTCGGATGAAGGTTGGTTTATGCTTGACGCGTCTGCGAGGTCCGCGCGACTCCGCGCGGAAAAGTTGCGTCATTTTGCGTCATTTTAACAACCACGCCCCTCCACCGCGTCTCCGCATGGCCCAAGATTTCCGCAACGCGCACCTCGGAAAATTTCTAACCACGCGGACGGACGCGGAAAAACATGGCGGACCGGCAAGAACTAGTATGGCAGAGGTTCGTAAATACAGACATTTGTATGATTCAGCTCTCAGAGATCACCGTGATCAACATGTTGTTAATAATTCTTGGAGAGAAATAGCTCGCACTGCTGCGCGGAAAGTGAATGCGTCAAGCATAAACCAAGCTTGAGAGGTGAAACGTCTTCAAGCAACTCAAAGAAGTGCAGACGCTTTTCTTTCAAGCTCATTAGACGATTTAATGCGACATGACCGTTCAGACTGCAGTCACTTTTAAAAACATCAGATATGTGTCGGAATCAGTACCACATATTCAAGGGACACGGATCACATCAGAAAAAAATTGGATCTGAATGTTCAGACTGTCATAAAAACATCATATATGGCTCGCATGTGGGAAAAAAGCGGATTTAATGCGCTTTTGCCTGCAGTGTGAACGTAGCCTTAGTCTCTCATGTCCGCTTCTCTGTCTTAGACATGCTGCTATCTGACTCTGCTCCACACACGCACTAACCGCGGACTAAAATGTTAATGTAAACAGAAACTGTGATATTAAAACCAATCCAAATGATGTGATACAGGCAGAATAAAACTCACAGTTAGATGAATGCAGACTCCTACCGACAAATAAAACACCAGCCTCTAGTCTCCATGGCTGCAAATTGGAGCAACAGCGAGGACAGCTAATCATATGTTAGCATGATGCAGCAGAGCCAATCAGTGAGCTTGTGGGCAGGTCTAAGGGAAAATAGGCTTCAGCTTAATGGGCTCGACACACGGGAGGCGACAAACGACCGCGATCAGCGAAATTTGTCGCCGTCGCTTTTATTACCTGACACACGGGAGGCGATCCGCGGCAGCGGCCAGCAGCAAAGCCGTCTACGCGTTCTGTTCCATGGCGAAATCGAAACTTCTGTTGTTTTGTTTGGCTGTGTCAGGTTGGAGGGAATTAAGGTTATTTAAGCAGTTCAGAGTTAATAAAGCGATAGATATGATGTTTCACAAGGTGCTGCTAGAGTTATATGAAATCTTACTTCTGATTTTACTATAAAACATAATAATAATCAACTTCTCCTCCATGTTTGCTCTGAGATGTGCGGAGCATCCCGTCCGCTCATTGGTCAGTGAATGAAACCTCCGTTGATTGGTCCTCGTCCGAGCGACAGCGATGAAAAGTTGAAAATGTTTCAACTTTCTGGGATCGCGTCGCTGGGTCGCCTGTGCACGACACGTGCACGAGCGCAAAATTTCACACGCACGTTTTTCGCGTTTCGCTTGGTAGGAGGGAGACCCGCGATTATCACTTTGTCGCGCATGTCTCATTGAAAATGAATAGAGGAGAGGTGATGTCACCTCCCGTGTGTCGAGCCCATAAGGCGGCTGCCTCCACATGGTCCTAGTGCCTGACCTTTATCCAAGTACGACAGTTTTGGATGGTAAAATTTGACGGACGACCGGATAAAGTGGACCTGGGACAAAAGGGGCAGTTGCTCAAGCGTGCGACCTCACCATGTAGGTAATGTTTCTGTACCTGCTTGTAACTAATATTGATATTAACTAAGGTAATTAAGGTTCATCCAGAAAACAAAAGCTGGCTCAGCGCCTGTGTTAGTGGAGTAATATTTCTGGATGGCTTTTACTTGATTATAAACGTGTTGAAGGAATGCTACGCTTACATAACTGATATGTTTTCAGGAGTAATGTAATGTTTGAGCTCCGTTTTGTTTCCTTTGAGGTCGTAGGGAACTATAATGTCGACTGTAGATTTTCAGAAAATACCAATCCCTATCCCATCAGAAGTTTATTCCTGTATGGGATGTCATCGTCCTTGTGCTTTTTATCCATCCTTTTGACTCTTGTTCTGCTTAAACTTCAGCAGTGGCTTCCCCTAGCAACGCGAGTCGTACATCTAAAAGGATGCTATGAGGATATAGGTGCAGGTCACATGTCTGACAAGAACCAATAATCAGCTGCAATCATGCACGGTCTATCAATGTGTGTGAATATTACTACCAAGCGAGGCGGACCAAATGTTGCAAAATTCACACATCGCCATGCCAGCGTGGCCGGTTTATAAGACACACCGTTGCAGTAATATTACGCTGATTTGCTGGCGTGGTGTGTCTTGTAAAAAGGGCGAGAAAGTAGAGCTTTGTCAGGGTTGATATCCTCAACGGTGAGAGCAAAGCTCACCTGGGATTCACAGATAGAGTCTGGGTGATGGAGCAGGTCTGAAATTAACCGTGTGCGTGCGTGCGTGTGTGTGTGTGTGTGTGTGTGTGATTCTATATCAGATTCTATATGAATGTGGGTTGTTGTTTTTCAGACTGATATTGTTTAAAGAATGTTCTCAGGTTTAGTTCAGAGCGAGGTCATGGACTTGGATCAGGAATTTCCTACAAACAGGAACAAGATTCCAGCGAACATAGCGGTGTTTATCACACTGGATAACAGCCTGTGGTTGCACACTGTTCAATGTACTTCCTGGATGAGTGACTTTTTAAGGGTATGTTTAAAATGGACAGAGAAAGGACAACTTGGATGTGTTCTTTTTTCTGCTTTTTAATGCATTGCATTACCACTTCGTATCAGAACAGGGCTCAATATTGGAAAATCATCAAAAATGAAAACTTGGACTCGGATCAGGGGCAAAAGTGTGGTTGTAACGTCCCTAGATATAAGTCGGCTTTAAAAACTAAAACAAATATTAATGAAATAACATTACCTTCAATTGTTAATAGGGATGTAAGATGTACATCGATTTTCCAAAGTTGTGTATCAAATTTTTGGATGCATTTACATGGAAACATTTTTATATTTTATTTTCATTTGGTGCAATTCAAACACCAACCGCTAGGTGGCAGCAGTGTGCAATGGGTTTTGTTTCCACCATTCAAATGTAAATCTCTCTGTTACGGTTCAGGCACTGCATGTTAAGCACATTACATATCAGTTTGGACTGTTCATTGAATTTTCCTACAACTTCAGTCTAAAAAATGTCTAATATCGTCTGGCTGAAATTCATCAATACACGTCACTAATTATTTACACTAAATGAAATATTTTTCCTAGTTTATATTATGTTGTTTGTACCCAAGGTTCTCTCGTTATCTTAATTTTCCAACTTGTTGGATCACGAATATGCTTTAAAAACTTGCTCTGTATTTGCCCCTTTTTTATACTTTGAGTGCCCTTCAAAGATCTCTGCACGGCCCTGGTGTCCAGGTCTGACGTATGCTCAGAGGTTCTAATGGGAATTTTTTCTTGATTGATTTTGTTACCACCATGATGTCTGTGTGTAATATTTAAAATGTCCTCACACCTGCATGCATATGGGTAATTCCAGTCTGTCAGCATGACCAACAGCCTTGAGATTTCTCCATCAAAATAAAAGGTC